GTTGAAGTTCTACTTGGAAGACCCCAACAATTATGACACCTTGTCCACGGTTTTCAACAGGTAATTTGAACTTTTCTGTACTGATTTGTATGATTACTTCGATCGGTTTGTTTGATTAAAGCTTGAAGTTGTTGCTTTTTAATAATTTTTTGGGTTTAAACTTTTAGTTAACTGGGTTTGGGTTTGATTCTTCAGGTCGAGCAGATTCGGTAGGCTTCAGACAATTAAGTGTGCCATTGCTGGGAAGAACTTGTACATGAGATTCACCTGCAGCACTGGTGATGCTATGGGGATGAACATGGTCTCCAAAGGTGTGCAAAACGTTTTGGATTTCCTCCAGAACGACTTCCCTGACATGGATGTGATTGGAATTTCGGGCAACTACTGCTCAGACAAGAAGCCCGCCGCAGTGAACTGGATCGAAGGCCGCGGCAAGTCAGTGGTCTGTGAGGCTGTGATCAAGGGCGATGTGGTGCAGAAGGTGTTGAAAACCAATGTGGCGTCCCTCTGTGAACTTAACATGCTCAAGAACCTTACTGGGTCTGCAATGGCTGGAGCTCTTGGTGGCTTCAATGCGCATGCCAGCAACATCGTCTCTGCAATCTACATCGCCACCGGCCAAGACCCAGCTCAGAATGTGGAGAGTTCTCACTGCATTACCATGATGGAACCCATCAACGATGGAAAGGACCTTCACCTGTCTGTCACCATGCCTTCCATTGAGGTAAATTGATTGTCCCTTGATGTTTTTTTACAGTGCTTGGAAATTGGAATCTTGGATTGTTCTTACATTGATGTATTTTGATGCTAGAGATGAAGTCTTACATTGGTGTTTGATTGTTCTGTCCAGGTTGGTACGGTTGGAGGTGGGACGCAGCTTGCATCGCAGTCAGCTTGCCTGAACCTGCTCGGAGTGAAGGGTGCTAACAGAGAGGCACCAGGATCAAATGCAAGATTGTTGGCCACTGTTGTGGCTGGCTCTGTTCTTGCTGGAGAGCTTTCTCTCATGTCTGCTATTTCAGCTGGACAGCTTGTGAAAAGTCACATGAAATACAACAGATCAAGCAAAGATGTCTCAGCTGTTGCATCCGCTTAAGAACTCGAAAGGCCCAACTTCACCGGCTTACAAAAGCCGAAAGTATGGCCGGAAAGATGTCGAAAGAATAACGGCGGCATGAATCAGTTATCGATTTGGCATGGGGAGGAAGAGGATCGAGAAATAATGAACAGAACAAACGTACAGCAAGGCTTAGGAAATCGTGTAAATTATGATGAAAAGTTTTAGTGGCAATTATTAATTTACTCGAAAGTTCTTCAAATGCAAGTTCTTTTTCTTTTCATCTTTTTATTTAAGCGTGATGTTTCGGGCCTATAATATAACGTTTTGTAATTTAAATTTTTACAAGATATTGTGTTATTTACCGATGCAACAAGTTTCTCTTTTATTTATGTGAAAAATTAAATTACCGATCCAACAACTTTACTGTAATGGCATTTAGAGGTGCATACAAGTTTCTCTTCTATTAATGTAATCTCTTTTATGATTGGGGTGCTATGTGCATTGTTATTTTCACGTGCTTAATTGTGAAACTTCAATGATTTCTTTCAGTGTTTGCTTGATTTCTCATGGGATCAACATCAATGACGATGATGCTTTCTGGTTGATTGTTATTAATGTTTTAAAAGGCGAAAACGAAGTTAGGGTGTTTCATGAATAGGGGCCTGTCTAGACGATAGTTTTGAGGTGTCAACCAAAACCACAAGAGACCTAAAATTATTAATATAAATATTTTAGGAAATTGTTATCAGCACTTCAAATATCTTATTCTAAACTCCTCACAAGTCTAATTTTCTTTTTAATTATAGAAGTTTAGAGTGCAAAATGAAATTTTTATAGTGTCAATAACATTCTCATATTTTATATATAATATAATCAACAATAGAGTCGAAATCAAACATTGTAGAAGAATAATCAACAATCAAATAAAAATTTCTTCATTGTAGGTGAGAAACCCTAACTTTAAAATAAATAAGGGAAAATTAGGTTCACATCCTTCTTTTTGTTACTCCATTGATTAAAATCCTATTCATTTTGAATTTTTTATTAAGGTCCTTGGGTATTAATAATGTCACATCCCGGCCCGGGGCGGATCACTTCCCGGGCCCGCTCCACCAACGTAGCACGATATTGTCCGCTTTGAGCTTACCATTCCCTCACGGTTTTGTTTTTGGGAACTCACGAGCAACTTCCCAGTGGGTCACCCATCATGGGATTGCTCAAGCCCCCTTCTCGCTTAACTCCAGAGTTCCCACGGAATCCGAAGCCAGTGAGCTCCCAAAAGGCCTCGTGCTAGGTAGAGATGAGAATATACATATAAGGTTCACTCCCCTGGGCGATGTGGGATGTCACAATCCACCCCCCTTAGGGGCCCGACGTCCTCGTCGGCACACACGCGACCAGGGTTAGGCTCTGATACCAAATTGTCACATCCCGGCCCGGGACGGATCACTTCCTGGGCCCGCTCCACCACCGTAGCACGATATTGTCCGCTTTGGGCTTACCATTCCCTCACGGTTTTATTTTTGGGAACTCACGAGCAACTTCCCAGTGGGTCACCCATCATGGGATTGCTCAAACCCCCTTCTCGCTTAACTTCAGAGTTCCCACGGAACTCGAAACCAGTGAGCTCCCAAAAGGTCTCGTGCTAGGTAGAGATGGGAATATACATATAAGGTTCACTCCCCTAGGCGATGTGGGATGTCACAAATGACACACCCTGACCGAGATCAGGGCGTGCTGGCCGTCACGCCCTAATCTCGGTCGGGGTGTGTCAGTTTGGTATCAGAGCCTAACCCTGGCCGCGTGTGTGCCGACGAGGACGTCGGGCCCCTAAGGGGGGTGGATTGTAACATCCCACATCACCCAGGGGAGTGATCCTTATATGTATATTCCCATCCTTACCTAGCACGAGACCTTTTGGGAGCTCACTGGCTTCGGGTTCCATAAGAACTACGAAGTTAAGTGAGAAGGGGGCTAGAGCAATCCCATGATGGGTGACCCACTGGGAAGTTGCTCGTGAGTTCCCAAAAACAAAACCGTGAGGGAATGGTAAGCCCAAAGCGGACAATATCGTGCTACGGTGGTGGAGCGGGCCTGGGAAGTGGTCCCGCCCGGGCCGGGATGTGACAAATTATTGTAACATCCCACATCACCCAGGGGAGTGATCCTTATATGTATATTCCCATCCTTACCTAGCACGAGGCCTTTTGGGAGCTCACTGGCTTCGGGTTCCATAGGAACTACGAAGTTAAGCGAGAAGGGGGCTAGAGCAATCCCATGATGGGTGACCCACTGGGAAGTTGCTCGTGAGTTCCCAAAAACAAAACCGTGAGGGAATGGTAAGCCCAAAGCGGACAATATCGTGTTACGGTGGTGGAGCGGGCCCGGGAAGTGGTCCCGCCCGGGCCGGGATGTGACAACAAATTACATCATTAATTATTTGAATAATAAAATATTTTTATTTTTAAATATATTCCTTTAGTGTTAAAAATGTTACAATTAGTATATTTATATTTATGGCTAAATTTTTTATCATATATTTTTATTTTTAGTTTGTACCTATTTTTAATTTGCAAATATTTTTTAATTTGTACCAATTTTCTTTTCATTTTTAATTTGTACCCATATATAAGTTTCTTTTTGTGCCCCTATTTTTTAAAGTTTTATTTGTGTTTGTACCCATGTGTATACCGTCACGTGACATTGTATATTTAATCAATGATAGAAAAATTACATATGGTATATTTATGTTTTATTCCTAAACTTTGTATCATATATTTATATTTTTAGTTGTACCCACTTTTAATTTGCAACATTTTTTTTTAATTTGTAGTATTTTCCTTTTAGTTTTATTTTGTACCCATGTATTAATTTCTTTTAGTGCCTATAATTTTTAAAAATTCATTTGTACTCATAATTTTTAATCTTTTATATGTACCCTAATTTATGTAAAATGTACCAATTTTTTTTAATTTACCATTTATTATTTCTTATTTTTACATAGTTTTTATGCATTTATTCAATCAAAATGTTTGAATTTTTTTTATTGTAACCGTTTCTAATAGTATTATAATGAGGGATTTTAAATTTATAGGATTATAAATCTCATAAAATATCAAACAATTAATGTCAAAACTATAAAAATATAAATATTAATAGTAATATAATGAGGTGTACAAAGTCAAGGGACATTGATCAAACTTTGAATACTATTAAGGTTTTAATCAAAGAATGTTAAAGATTAAAGACCGCATCTAAAGTATCCCAATAAATAATAAAAAAAAGTAGCATATGACGCTTCAAACGCGTCTCGACCACATCTAAATAAGTTTAAATCTACTCCCACTAAGCAAAGAATCCCCGCCTCAAAGGCCGGCTAGTCATGCCTCAAGGCTATTTTTAAAACACTGATTGTTATGTCTGTTTTTCTCTCCAACTTTAGGCTATCCACTAGGCATGCAAGTTGATAACATTTTTTGTTCAAATACAGATGGCTTGTGAATATTTTTTTATTTTCCTACTAACCTTTAAAATTTTTTTTTTTAAAGTATTCATTTTCTTTTGTTGGTTTAGCACGCAGAGTACAGACAGCAAATTTTTTCAAGAACAAGGAGAGAGATTAGTGTGTTGAGAATTGTCCCACATCGGTGAGGAACAAGGTTTGTTATGTGCTTATATGATCTTAGACTACTTCCCATATTGCCAATTGGTTTTATGGTAAAATCTTAATTTCATCATGGTATCAGAGCGGGTTGTCTTCGTGCGAAGCCAAATGGCCACACGAACTCCATGTCACTCAGTTGTTGTCCACGTGTAGGCTTGAAAATCCACCACACGTGCGGGGGCGTGTTGAGAATTGTCACACGAACTCCATGTCACTCAGTTGTTGTCCACGTGTAGGCTTGAAAATCCACCACACGTGCGGGGGCGTGTTGAGAATTGTCCCACATCGGTGAGGAACAAGGTTTGCTATGTGCTTATATGATCTTGGGCTACTTCCCATATTGCCAATTAGTTTTATGGTAGAACCTTAATTTTATCATAGTATACCCTAATAATATTTAGGCAATCGATCATTCTAGATTGGCGGGGAAGCTCACATGTGTAGAGTCTTTGAGTGTCTTAGAAGTTCAGATCTTCAAAGTATAGTAAAGGAGAAATGTTAAGAAAACACTCTCAAAACGGAACTCTCTAAGATGTCGATTAAGAATCTGTTTAGATGTTAACCATGCTTGCATCTATTTGCCTCCTTCATGTGTATGAACATGCTGAAGAAAGAATCAAGTAACTAATTATAATTAGATTAGCAACAACTATCCCTACGCACGCGTGAGTAATTATCAGTTATTGACACATATGTTGGTCACTGCTTATTAACACTCAAAATGACTGTCAATCGTTGATGTATTACGGAACTCATATATACGACTATTCCTACATCATTCTAACGACCATTTAGTGGTGCAATAAGATGGTTGTTGGGATAGTGGAAAATGTCAGCCGTGGCTGGCTGCTGCAGGCGAGTAAGTTGACTTGATCAAAGTCGGTTGGCTTGCCAATTTGGACCAAACCCTAATTGTAGTCTGTTTATGCTGGCAGTAATCGGCAACCACCATTGAGGCATTGACTACAACTGCTACAGTAAGTGCCTTCACTATTTAAATAGTTAAAATATTTCGTTTTCAAATGTGCGTGGTGATGTTGCATTGCATTCCTTTGCTACTTGCTACGGCCAAGTAATGAGACAATAGGACTTAAATTGCAGTCTCAGCTTATGGCTGCATATAATTACACACACACACACACAGTGTGTGTCGACTGGTCTATTTTGATTTTATGGTAGTTGGTGAAGATAAAAAAAAAAATTCTGCATTTCATATCTCAATTAAAAAAACTTCTTGCATACAACAATGAGTATATATACAACGTTCAGTATCTCTTGACAGGCTGATCACGTCTTCGTTATTGTACGCAAGAACTTCTCCTCAAATATTTCATTTGCTTGCGAACTAGGTGTTTACTTGCATCATCAGGAGCTTGCCACATGAAAACCTTTATCTGATTTGATATGCAATCTTATAGGTGGATCTTAAGATTTTTGTGCGCTTATTTTCTTCTAAGTGGACGCCCACAAACAATTATTATCACAAAATTTCAATAGCTTGTGATGAATCATTACCCATTTTACAGATATTGAAATTTCGAGGAATAATCAGTAGTGGATTGCATGATGAACAGCTTCCAGTATATTGACCCATGAAAGATATATTTCTACTGGTAAATCCTACATTCAACTCATTACAGTCGAGATTTACTTTTTATTTAAATAAAAGTGATATTCTTATTCTGAACTACTGCACTAAGAAGAGAAGAAGTTTGAATTCGGAGCACCAGTGTGAACAAAAATACTCTAAGTACGAGAGCCATCCTCCACAACTTACTAGGTTGGTGCCTTTTTGACTAAATAATTCGATCACGTGATAAGTGAGACACTCATAATGGTGATGAAGTGAATGAGGCTGTGGCAGCACCGAAAACAGAACAAACATGGTGAAGCTTGAATGCATGGGTGAATAATGGTGATAAACGACTGAACATACGAGGAAGACGACAGATGGAATGAATCAAAATTCACATGGCCTTGCTCTCTCCATGTTTCTCTGTGTCGTATGCTATCAATTGAATTATCTTCCATCTTTGATAACTCTATTAAACTAATTAATTAATGTGCAATTCGATTTATGCTTATCTGTATAATTAATTAATTAATGAAATTAGTGAGTCAAACGTATGGGAGCTCGTCATCATTTGTGCCGTTTACTGAAAGCTTTCATATATTATATGATGAAATTGCAAAGATTCCTCAGGTCCAAGTTTTAGGCTGCATCCAAGTTTTCACCCACAAAACCAATGAACAAGCACATAGAAAATGTTGGAGTTCTATTTGTTCCCGTTAAAAATAATATTATCAGATGAATCCAATCCATTTAGGGTAATGCTAGAGAGACAAATTTGAAAATAAAATTTTGTAAACTAAATGATAAGTAAATTGATGATTGAATTGTTACTCAAACGTTGATAAACGTGTTCATTCTTATTAGTGATACATCATTTAGTTTGACCTACAAAGTCGATCTCCCTAACATTGCCCTTCTATTTTATTGATTTAGATGCAAGTTTTATAGTTCAAGCAATTAAAATATTATTTATACTTGGCGTCCAGTGTTCGATCATCCTTCCACAAGGAGCTGGATCTTCTCGGGATGGGCAACGGTTATGGCGGGCGGGTAATTGTTGTTATTTACCCATAACCATTTATGTTCATATCCATATAACCGTTTACCCATTGGGTAATTACATAAACGGTTATACCCATACCCATAACCGTGTACCTATTTAACCATAACCATTTACCCATTTAACCATAACCATACCCGTTTACCCGTTTTGAACTCGTTTATCCTTTTTTTACCCATTTACCCCTTTTTCATCCGTCTATATGTTTTTTTTAACAACTTGAAAATTAAAAAAGCAAAATTTGTCATAATTTTCGTTTTCTGACAAATAAACAAGTTTGCTTATCCGGGTGCAACAAGGGAGTACATCCGTTCTAGTCAACGCGGCTATGCTCATGCCAACTTGCAGTAACGTATCTTAAACATTGACAAATACACAAATTATGAAAATTCTCACTTGAAATACTTAAACTTTACTGACTCAAAATGTAATTAAATTAAGGAGGAAACAAGCAACTGATCAAAGCAAGTTGATGATATTCATGGGGTTTGCACGTTTCAGGCAGGGAATCAAAATACACCGCATCAAGCAATAATCAAATAACTAAACGCGACATAGACAAACCCGTGTTCACCTGAGCTCTGATCAGCTGTGCTGGTCCATTCGGAATCCTTGCTGAAGTCTTCTGCTCCGCTTGCTGTTGAGATAGAGAGTGAACTCCGAAGAAGGGAGAGGGCAGCGAGGAGGGAGAGATGAGCGAGGGACGAGGGGTTTGAGATTGAGTCTGGTTGAGAGATTGAAAATTTAGGGTTTTTAATTATTTTTTTTTAATTTTACATATATTAAATTAAATGGGTAAATGGATACCCGTTATAACCGCAGGTAATACTCATAACCGTTCATTTAAATTTCATGGATAAACAGTTACCCATAACCATAACCATGAACTTTAAATGGGCGGGTAACTGCGGTTACCCAAACCCATGGGTATTTTTGCCCATCCCTATCCTCTCCTGAGCTCAGGATGGGGATTCTCATGAGCAGCCCATCCGGGCCGTTCAAACTTGATCCAACGGCTACAATTATTATAACTTTTAGAGGGGCCCCATGTTTGGAACCATTAAATCAAATTTCAACAGCCCGGATGAACTGCTCAAGATGATCCCCATCCTGAGCTCAGGAGAGGATCCAGTTCCTTTCCACAATATCTCTTATACAAAAAGTTGGATTTACAAACCTTTTCTTTGCCACCGATTGTGATATTTCTTTGACCCTAGGGCAGTAACCTATCATGTTTCCACCCAACTTAGCATGATTTTCTTATTGGTTAAGATGGTTATGGTTTGAAAATTTAATAATATTATTATTATATTAAATTTATTAATTGAATGGAAATTAGAAGTGGAGTCTTTTGGTAGAAATATGTGTCTACTCAAATGAAGAGTTGCAATTTTTTACTCTTCATGAATAGTCATATGTTTTCTAAAGAGGTATCTCATATTCTATAAATAGGGAAGCCCCCTATAATCATTATAGAACTTTTCATTGTTTACATAATCCGATGGTAATTCACGTATGGACAAAAAATATGGTATTCGATTACATGGATTTTGTCATTTTGGTACGTTGTTCGTTTGTCATTGAAAATTATGAATAGTATATGATTATATGAGAGCAAATGCATGATTAATATATGGTTATGGTATGCATGTTTATTACAAAGCAGGATTCAATGTATTAAATCCTGGTTTACGGTTGGATACCATGTGTATACTTGAAGACTTACTTAGACTTGTTGACTTTTTAAGTTTGCAGTTTTTCTTTTCTTTTTAAGTCTGGAGATTTAAACAGAAATTCATAGATTCTTGGTTGGTTTTGGCTGACCAATTTGAAGTCTTGAAGTGCCTTTTGAAACTAATGCAACCCTTTTAAAGGTTACATCATTGATCAAAGGATACGATTGGTGTCTTGGGTATTGTACAGAACTAGTACATGAAAAACATGAGAGAGATTACCAAATTTGGTATGTAATATTCTCAGTGTGATGTTCAATTGCATCTCTTACCGTTGTATATTCGTGTTCAACAGACATGAATAAAACTTACAGTGATATATATATATATATATATATATATATATATATATATATCATGACTATGATCATATTCGTGATAAGAATTTAACGAAAAGGCATGATCATTTAGTATGGGTCATTTGGTTCCTTCCAAATGAACTAGCGAGTTTTAGAAGCCGTGACTTTCTTTCATTAGTATGGATATATGTGTAATCGTATATCTGAATTAATTATACACTGCTTGGAGATGTCACCCACCAAACTGGTACTTTTGTTTATTACTTGCATGTTCTGCTTATTGCAAAACTGGTATATGACAGTACCTTTTCCAGGCGGTGGTATCAAGCAGTAAAGTTAAATAAGTTAGCAATGGATGCACATAGGAATTTTTCGGTGAAATGTACTTCGCTTAAGTTTGTTTACTGAGAAGTACGTCTGTCAACATGAAGGGTATAAACCAAAACCACAATATTGACTGGTGAATTTTATTGGGGTTTTTAAATCGAACAGATGCATCACTTGTCATTGTTCCATTAAAAGGGATTAATATGGCTTAAATGGTCTGTGTGCAAGGAATTCATCATTTCAGAAATGAAAGTGACCTAATTAATGATATATATTATATGTATCATGTACTGTGTAGATGCAAAATTAATTTCAAGAAACAAAAACAGAACTCAATAGCATGTTCTTAATTAAGTATACTATTTGCTTGATGAGTATATTAACGTTGCAAATATATGTGACGGCAAAAGAAGTATTCCCTCAAAGGGAAGAAACTTTAGATCATGTTTGGTCTGATAATTAGAAGCCTAATTAAGGAGACAAGTGACTCGGTATGTTCGTAGGCTTAAGGGCCTATGAAGATAGATGGAGAGAAATTTATCTACATAAGTTTTCAGTTTCTTTTAAGTATGATGAATGAATTATTGATGGCAATTGAAAAGCAACCACAATGTAACGGAATTGTGGGGGTGGCTTAGCTTCTAGAAAGAAATAAAGATTATCTCTTACAACGGTAATTTTAAGGTATTTGAATGGTTGGAGATCTTCTAACAAAATACCTTAAATGTGGGGGAGTTTACCCAAGCATAGGCAAATTACTTAGTAAGTCCCTGTATATGTTTGGAAGACTTAACATTGGAAAACAACTGCTTTCGAATGAAATATAATTTCATAAATGGAAGTGTGCACCATAAGAGATAGTCATCAACCTAGTGAATCCAATTAATTAAAGGTTTGACTAGAGAGTAAGTTGTATCATCGAGGGAAATGGGTTAAAAGCCTACGTCTTTAAGAATCGCCATAATGGCAACTCAACCTAGTTGACTGGAGATCCCGAAATCTAGGTTCAAAGGGACAACCAAATTGTGGATGATTCAAGGGGAGCACTGCGGAGATAATCTCCTAACCATGTCCTACGATGAAACAGTGTTATCTGCAGCGTATTAAGGATAGGCTTTGCTTTTAATGATTCCTATACTTGGAAATAACAAGTGGGGTATTGTAGGATATTCTTAATGGGAAGTCACCTATCTTGAGTGAGGAATTGGACCATTCCTGCGAGAATTTTTTTGAAGGGCTTAGTTCTCTAAAAGCACTCATGAAAAACCAAGAATTGTTCAAGGCCAAAAATGAACACAACTGAGCAACCATGGAGTGTCTGGAAGAGTATTGTGTGATTATTATTGTTTTGGTTCACACAAACGGTTGAGCAGTTCAAGACATCGTGTTCACTGATTAGCCAAGTAAATCCGATGGTAATTCACTACAGAAGGTTCAAAGTCAAACGCCATTTATCCCGATGTGGTACTTTTCCTACTGAATTCTCTCTCTAGTGTCTGCATTGTCATTTGCATGGTATTGAGTCAATTTCCATTCATGTGGGGGATTGTTGGAAAATTTAATAATATTATTATTATATTAAATTTATTAATTGAATGGAAATTAGAAATGGAGCCTTTTGGTAGAAAGAAGTGTCTACTCAAATGAGGAGTTGCAACTTTTGACTCTTCATGAATAGTCACATGTTTTCTAAAGAGGTATCTCACATTCTATAAATAGGGAAGCCCCCTATAATCATTATAGAACTTTTCATTGTTTACATAATCATACATAGAGTGTACTAAATATTAGAAAGTCTCATTGAGTCCATATGAGAGAGTTTTCAACACAATTGTGGTTCATGGAGCCTTGTGATTTGGAGTGCTACTATTACAAGGACGTGGTCATTGTATCTTGGAAGACATGCGTTGATCAAATATGAGCACCGTAGTGGGGTGTAATTTTTCCAACAACTTATACGATCTAGTGGTATTCCTCTTCAATTGTAAGTGAGAGGTTTTAGGTTTGAATCTTGTCAAAGGCGAATTTGAACCGCATTATTGTTAGTCCATTGTGAGACTTAGCCGAATCCTCCACTCACTTAG